GGGGGAGTCCCCACCCCGGGAGGGGTTTCAGAGCCGTGTGGATGTGGGGCTCAGGGACATGGTCAGTGGGGGCTGGGCAGTGCTGGGGTAACGGTTGGACTTGATTGTCTTAAAGGTTTTTTCCAATCTAAATGATTCCATGATTCCTGAGGGTGTAAGAGCTGGAGGCAGCCTGAGGCCACTCACCAGGGACTTCTCCTCCTGCCGCAGCCACTGGTAGTCCTCCACCCTCTCCTTCTGCTGCTTGTCCGCCCCTGCCGCATCTTGAGCCTCTCCATTTCCCAGAGTTTCTGTGCCTCCTCCCTGCTGCTGGGACGGAGGAAATCTTCCTCCTGGTGTGCAGAGCCAGGGTTTCAGGGGGAGCCTCAGGAGCCAGAGCCCACCCCCCAATTTTGGCATGGGAGCCAGAGCCCCATTCCACGCATGCAAGCCATGCGCCAGACCCCAACAGCATGAACCCAAGAATGGAATTTGGGGAGCACTTGGGTCTCCAGCAGGAAGAGGAAACCACCAGCTGGCCCCAGATCTCCCACCACCATCCCAGCACTTTCCATGGGTGGCGTGCACGGGCCGGTTTGGGGAGCAGCTCACCGTACCCATGGTGCAGCCACGCTTGGCACCACAGCCGTCCGGGCACACCAGGCAGAGTATCTCAGGCTGTGCCCCAACACTCAGCTCCGATTTTGGGGACAGAGTAACCAAGCTCAGCCTGCAAACCACCACTGGAATTCCGGTGACAACACCGAGAGCGAGGAGCTGACCCAAAGCCCTGAGGAGCAGCGATCACCCATCCTCCACCCGTTTTTGGGGATGCCGTGCCAGTCGCTAATCTCACGCAAATGCGCTGTGCATGAGACACCCCGGAGCCTTCCATGGGCTCAATCCCTCCAGCCCACAAACAGCGCCCACGGGGTGACGGCAAGGTTTGGCTTTCCCACAGCCAGCTTGGGAGCAACACTGAGCTCACAGCATCGGCAGCAGCAGCACAGAGCAGAGCGTGGTGCAGCAAGCATCCCTCCCCCTGAGCCATCGCCTCCTACAACATCCCCGGCATGCTTGGGATGAAGCCACCCAGGGACCGGGGTATCCTCTGGATGCCGTGGGATGCAGGAATCCTTTCTCTTACCCTCATGCTGTGGCGCTTGAAGACGTTGTGGCGGTTGAGCGGCGGGGTGTGCAGGGAGTTGGCCGGAGACTGGTACTCGATGGGGCTGGTGAGCGTGGGTGAGCTGGCACACAGACCCTCGGGCACCTGCGGGGGGGCCGGGGGGGTAGGCAGCGGGACGGCGCGCGCACAAAACAAGGCCATGGCGAGGTTAGTGCAGACAGACGGACGGATGGAGCAGACAACGCGAGGGAGAGCGGCTTTCGCACCAGGAGCAGCTTCTGCCCCCATCCCCATCCATGGGGCAGGAACGGGACCTTCCTCCCTACTCGGCTCTACCTGGCCCTGAGCGTGAGCTTGAGACCTCCCATGCTGCTGCCTGGACTCCTGCCCAGCCCCAAAACAGCACCCAAAATAGTGGCTCTTGAGAGTTTCACCCTGATGCCGCAAGGACCAGCACCGGTCCTTGCAGAGGGGGTGCCCTGTGCCCCCGCAGGGCAACCAAACAGCCCCCGGTCACAGTAGGGAGCTGCGAACCCCCTCTCCCCCCAGCCGTGCATGCAAACTGGCTGGTGACAAGCATGCAAACTGCCCCTCCTGGGGTGAAAGCCTCTCTGCCAGCTCCGAGGGACACACAAAACACGGGGGGGACACAGGGCAGGGCAGGGCTGAGCCCTGAGCGGTGCGGTGTCCTGATGGCAAGGAGGCGGGAGGCACTTGGGGATGGTGGGAGGCATCTCAGCGCACCCAAAGACACAAGCCACT